TGTGACAGCTGAAACCTCTGAAACCCACGTCAGAGCCAAGGTCCGACTGCGCCCCACTTCCCCTGGAATTATTTTACTGTTCCCCCACACTTCCTCCATTCATTCACCTAGCAAAGTTTACTGAGCATGGACTAAGTGCTGGGTACTGGGATGCAGGCTAGAGATGGAGAATAGAATGGATGTTAAGAGAGTATAACTTGCTGGGTAGATGGGGAAGGGACGTGCAGGAACACACAAAGAAGTAAATGAGTAAACTGAGATCTGGTTCGCATTCTAAAGGAAACTGGGGCAAAGGTTACCAATAGGTTCTTGGGAGGCACAAGCAGTTAAGTCCTTAGTTGCAGTTACAAACTAGAGGTTGGCGCTCAGAATACACACAGAGGGGTCTTAGAAGAAAGGCCTGTTTTCCTTCCAATAAAACTAGCCCCTGAAAACCCGCTGGTGCACAGTGCTACTCAGAAATGCTTGGAGTCACCATGAGTTAGAATCAACTCGATGCAACTGGTTTTGTTACATTTATAAATAGGTAATGCTTAATTATGAAAGTCATGGAAGGCCTCTCTGAGGAAGTGACGATTATGCTAAAACCAAAAGGTGGGTTTGCAGAGAATCAAGAAGGAGAGTGGCCCAGGAAGGAGAAACAACGTATACACCAGATCTGAAGTAGGATGTGGCAAGTCTGAGAAAGTACAAGAAATCTGAAGTGACTAGAGCTTGCAGGCCAAGGGGAGTGGCCTAGGGAGGCAGGCAGGGCCACATGCAGGAAGGAGTGTGGTTTTATCCCGAGTTCAAACCATTGGCAATTCAAATCAATTTATCTGATAGCTATCCCAGCTCAGCCCTCACTTGTGTGGAAATGAAGCATTCCTCATAATTTCTGGGTCTCATTTCCCCCATCTGGATGGCTGTTTTCTAGTTGTCCAGTTCTGACATCCTAGAAGTCTGGAGACTCAGAGCAGAGGAAGGAGGGGTGGCCAAGAAGGGTGGCAGCAAAAGACACAGCTGTAAGCCAGTGCGCCCTGACCTTCCTTCTGCTGTCCCAGGCAACAAAACTCCCATATTTTCTCCACAAATAAAGCTCCAATGTAAGAAAATAACTTACACATAAATATAATGCACACAGTGTGCATAGAAAACAAATGTGCAAAGGGTTCCTGCATTTTAAAAAACAACTCTCAACTGCATCTGCTATTTGTGTAAAAATATAGTGCGTGGGAACAAACTCCAAGACTCTGGGTTTAATTGCCCAAATGGAGAAACTGAGGCAAAGGAGAGGAGGGTCTTGACTTGTCTCCCAGGGAGGGTTTGCAGGTCCATCCCAATTCTGCCCCCACTGCAGGAGCACTGGACAGAATCAGATGCCCCGAGCAGAGGCAGAACTCCTTGCTTCAAAAAGGCCAAGGTCTCCTGTATCCTCTGAGGAGCTAATCTAATGCAGCGGATCAGCCTTCCATCACTCAAACTCCTGGCACCCTTCCCTTCCCTCTGCTCTCTGGGAATAAAGGTGGGAAAGCCCTTGCCTTTAGGTAGAGTCAATCACATGCCTCCCTATCTGCCTGGACACAACTGATTACAGATGAATTTCAAGACCAGGGCTAAGCTGGCTCAGCAGTTCCCGTGTCCAGAGAAGTGTGACCCATCGTCACACAGCCTGGAAGCATCTTCTGGGCTCACACCAGCCCTCTGACTCCTAGCAGTCCATCATTTCCCCTTCCCACAGTGACGATCTCTCACCAAGCCCACATCCGCGGGGACCTTCCCTATGCATCTCTGAAGTTGTTTAATGAGTGGGAAGCAGCAACTGGAATAAAGGTGCAGAGAAGAGAGCAGGGAGGGTCTCCCAGACACAGAATTGCTCAGTGTCCTGGTCAGAATCCTGGTCAATGCCCCGAGACATCTCCTCTCATGAGATTTACTGCCATATTCTTAACACAGGGTCCATGAATGTGCTTCTGGAGGATCTAAAAAAGCCTCAGATTTGTTCATCAATTATACAATTTTTCCCTAGGGAGAAGATTTGTACAGGCATACCCTGCTTTGTTGAGTTTTGCACATTATTTTTTAATACAAATGGAAAGTGTGTGGTAACTCAGTGTCAACTGGCAAGGTGATCAGAGTCATTTTTCCAAGAGTATGTGCTCACTTCCTGTTTCTGTGTCTCACTTTGGCAGTTCCTATAATATTTGAAACTTCTTATGCTATTGCACGCTGATAGACTAAAGAGGAGTGGCATTCATTTCCTAAACAACATGCTTCTGGAAACTATGAACTTTGAGAAATGACAATAGTTATAGGAAGGCTTCAGAGTCAGATTTTTTGTTCAGGGGGTCACTATGAGTTGTGCCCAACTCCACAGCAATCAACAACAACAACAAAACTAAAGCAAACATAATTTTTATATGCGCTGGGAAAACCAAAAACTTCCTGTAGCTTGCTACACTGTGACAATCACTTTACGGTGGTGGCTTAGAACCAAATCTGTAATGTTTCCAGGTATGTCTGTCCTTTCCACCAGATTTTGTTATAATGACTTTTTATAATACGAACAAGGGTTCAAGCCATTGGACCACTTCCTTTCCCTCTCATTTCACAGATGGTAAAGCTGAGACCAGAAAACAAGACTGATTTAAAAGCAGTCATTGTGTAGAGAATTATAACACAGGTTCTATGATCAGTCTACCTAGGTTACCACCACTTACTGTCTACATACGGCTTTGGGCAAGTTAAGGAGCCCTGGTGGCTAAGTTCTTAAATTATCAGGCTGCTGAGAAGTCAGTAGTTTGGAACCACCAGCCACTACAAAGAAAGATGAACAGTCTCTTCCTGGAAAGATTTATAGCCTAATAAACGTAAAGGAGGATGATTGTGAATCAGAACTAACAGTGGGCTTGGGGCAAATGATCTAACCTCCCATGCTACAGTCTCTTCATCTTAAAAAGGGAGATGGCAATAGTAAGTGCTAACAATCCTTTGGACATGTGGCTAGGAGAGGCTATTCCTTGGAAAGAGACATCATCTCTGAAAGGTGGCGGGTCAATGAAAAAGAGGAAAACCTTCAACAAGATCGATTTACCCAGTGGCTGCAGCAATAAGATCAAGTATATCAGAGATGATGAGGATGGCACAAGATAGGACAGGGTTCCGATCTGTTGTTCAGAGGGTGTTTATGAGTCGTACTTGATTCGACAACATGTAACAAGAAGAGTTAAATAAGTTAGCACATTCGAGATCTTAGGTCAGTCCTTGCTCCTCTGACACGCTAACTCATGGCCACCCAGTCAGAACTACTTGTGATTTAGAATCTCCAGTGAGGCTCAACCTTTGGATTAACAGAACAATTCTTGACGGTCTATTCTGCCAGTGCTCCCTGGTCCATTGGCAAGTGTTCCAAAAACATAATTGTTACCTTTGGTTGCCATCAAGTTAATTCCAACTCCCAGGGACCCCATGTGTGCCTGGCAGAACTACTCCCTAGTGTTGTCAAAGTGACCTTTTAGGTGCTGATTGCCAGGCCTATTTTCTGAGGCACGTTTGAGGGGGTCTGACCAACAATTTTTTAAGTAGTAGGGAGCTCTGGTGGCCTAGTGGCAGAAAGCTGCACTTCAATCCAGAAGGAACACAGTACAAGGCTACCAGCCCCTCCGAGGGAGAAGGGTGGGCAATCTCCTCCCATATGATAACTGCCTCTGAAAACCTGCCCAGAGGGTCAGCTATGGGTCGGTTCTGACTCCACAGTACGCAACAGCAGCAGCAGAGTGCTTGGCCATTTGAGCCACTTAAGGACTGCTCCATAAACATAAGTGATTCTTATTTAGCCAAGGTCAATGAAGTTAAGCGGCAGAGCTAGAGCATAAACCCCAGTTCCCTGATGCCTATACAGGGAAACAGGAAGTTCAGTGTCCCTAGCCCAAGAAGGGAGGACAATTACAGCCAGAACCTGTAGATACTCGTCTATGTCCTGGGGTAGGATGGGCGTATTTTGAGGAAATGGGAAGGAGGTCTCCAAAGAAGGGACAGAGAGAGAGAGGAGGTGGGGTAAATCCCAGGCTCACTCTCAGCTGGGGGAAGGAGAGGAGGGGCCAACATCAAAGAGTGGGCAGGCCAGCTTCCCGCCCCTAAGGCCAGGTGGCCTTTGTCAGGACAGGCCGGACACGGTTGGGACAATAGGGTGTCGTGTTCACTTTCCGGCCAACAGGAGTCACTACCGAGCCAAGGCACAGCCTGTTACATGACAAAGGGGGGGGTCCATAAAGAAGGTCAGGCCACCCCCTCATTAAAGCTGGGCTTTTGTCTTGCCCCCTCCTCTGCCTTTGAAGAGGGTAGATCAGAGGCCTGCCTGGGGCAGGCGTTCACAGGATCAGGAGACAAACAGTAGCCACCTTCCCAACTGCTCCAGTTTACCCCTCCCCCGGGGTCAAGAGTTCAGGGAGGGCGCTGGGGAGGTAAGGTAGCCCCCCCCTCCAGCCCTACTCTAACCAAAGAAGGCTCTTTTTGAGCCCACAAGGTACTGATCTCTTAGGCGTACAGATGTGGAGACTGAGGCCCAGAAAGGATGGGGCCTTGGGTGAACACACAGTCAGGGTGTTTCCTGTCTGGGACGGCCCTGCAGCCTCCAGGGGAGCCTGGGAAAAAGAGTGGAAGAAATGGATGAGGAAGAACATACCAGTATTGCTAAAAGCACTTTGGGGCAAAAGCTGGTGTTTGAGGTCTAGCTCCAGCTCTGCCATGCAACTACAAGGCACAGGTTTCTACATTTCTCTGGTCTCAGTTTCCCTATCTGGACGAGGGCTGCATTGCATGTAGGGTCCTCAGGCTGAGATGCTAAAAGGGGACGGCCGGCCTGGGGAAGGAGGAAGCTGAGAGGGTAGTCTACGGATCAACCCCTCAGAACGAAATAGGGCCAGGATAGGGAAAGGGATAAGGGGTGGCTAGAGCTGCACCCTAACACCTGCCCGTATCCAGAGGAACCTGGAGGCGCAGAGCGAGGAAGGGGTCCTTACCGCTGCCACTGCCACCTCCGGCCGTTAAGCTGCGCCGCATCCACTCGTAGGGCGTCCGCCTTTGCGCTCCGGGAGAGGATGGTGCCCCGGTGCCGCCGAGGGGCTGCGCCACGAGGCCTGGGGAGGGCCCAGGGGGTGCAGGCACTTGGCTAAAGTCCGGAGGGGGGCCGAATACTAACGGGGCTGGGCTGGCAGCGGGGGCCGCGGGTCCTGGGCCATAGGCGGCGGCCCAGTCGTCCTTGGGTGCAGAGAAAGGAGAACTCCAGGCCGTCGGGGGCGCAGGGCCTGGCTCCACGTGAGAATAGCCTGTGAAGTCGGGGTACTGCGGTGGCGCGGAGGGCGGAGGCGGGGGTCCGTAGGCTTGCGGGCTCAGGCCAAGACCCGCAGGCCTGGCGGGGCTGGGGTACACGGGAGAATCCTTGTCCAGCACATAGCCCACGTACATGGTGGCAGCAGGGAGCCCCGCGCATGCTGGGCCCCCAGAGCCGCCACCGGCTGCCCCAGGAGCAACTGCTCACCTGAAGTCGCCTGCCCCGCTGCCTGCGCGCCCCACCCAGGCCTTTTATAGCCCCAGGCCGGCTGCGGGCCCCAGCCTAGGCGGGTTTGCATTTCAAAGCGGGGGGAAGCCTCCGAACTGCGAATCAAAAGGGGAAACCCGTCGGGGGCGGGGGGTTCAAAAGGAGACAAATTGCCGCCCCAAGCGGGAGGTGGACTGGCCAGGGCCTAGAGGAGGTGGAGGGGCGCAAGGGTGCGTCCTGGGCGAGGGTCATCGAAGCTCCTATACGTGTGAGAAATCTCCTGTGAGGTCTGAACAGTTTGTGGTTCCGAACCCGCGTGGATGGCTACCCGATGCCATTTTATAGGTGCAGTGACAGGCTCCAAGAGGCTGGAGGACCCGAGGCCAGCGCCACACAGCCAACCTGGGCTTGTGACCATTGACTAGCCTGGGGGTGTGTGTGGGGGGAATACACCAACTTCAAGTGAGGCTTGGCCTGTAAGGTGGCTGGGGTCCTTAATCTTTTTGGGGAGGCATGAGGGAAGGGAGAATCACACTCCAGAGTCTCAGATGAAAGCTATGGATGCTTTCCCTGGGAAAATGCACATATACACACATACACTAGTCTGTATACACAGCCCGGAAATTGCCTGAGGTGACTGTAGAGAAAAATTCTGAAAGGGGTGAGGAAGCATCTTTGGGGAATTTTCTACAAAGTTTCTCTTAGTGACCCCCCACCCCCTTTACTGGGTCCTCTTAGTGACCCACCTACTTCCTTAGTGGACCCTCTTAGTGACCCACTTTCCCCATTTTTTCAACTGAGAAGTTCCGAGCATACATAAAAGTAGGACTGTATCATAAACTCCTGTATACCATCACCCAACTTCAACAATTATCAAGATTATATCACACATGTTTCATCTACTCCTCTCTCTTTTTTCCCCTAAAGTATTTTAAAACAAATTTCAGACATCATGTCATTTTACCCCTACATACTGCAGCACGCGTCTCTAAAACACATGGCTATTTCCTTACATAATATGCTCTTATCACATCTCACAAAATGAACAGAGATTCCTTAGTATTATCTAACACATGATTTGCAGTGTAAGTTCTCCCAAAAAAGTCTTCTGCATGGTTTGTTTGCATCAGAATCCAACCAGAAATTCTTACCCATTTATTATAACTGAGGTTCCCTCAATAGTTCAAATACATCAAGTGCGTGCCCCCCACCCCCACCCCAAGTTAAGGACTGGTGAAAATTTCCTACTCAAGCTGGAGTAATCAGCTAAAAAGCGAAATTGGTCAACTGAGAAGAAGAGAGTAAGGTTGCAGGATTTGGAGAATGCCTAATGAAGGGTAAGATTCTCCATTAGGAAGTGGAGGAGAATGGGTTTCCTGCTCTCAGGGAGTTCAATGCCAAGGAGCTGTGCAGAATTCTCCCCTGTAGCTCAACACCCTCCCCCTTTAATGTGCAAAAATACACATGATCAGATCCGTTCCAGCCTATCTTCCACTTAGGCCAGAGTTGGGGCAGGTTAGCTCTCTCTCTGGATTGGTGCACATGGTCAGGATCAGATTTAGCTATGTAATTACAGATCCCATGCAAATCAAAGGGTAGTTCTGGTGGCCTAGTGGTAAGAAGCTGAACTGCAATCCCAAAGCCACAAGATTCTAATCCAGTTGCTCTGCAGGAAAAGGATGGGCAATTTCCTCCTGTGCTATTAACATCTCATTAACTTCCTCTGAAAACCTGATGGAGGGCCAGCTATACGTAGTTCCAATTCACTGCACACAACAACATGCAAATAAAAAGGGAGTTCTGGTGGTCTAGGGTAAGAAGTTACGCTGTGATCCCCAAAGTACATGGTTCAGATCTACCAGCTGCTCCACAGGAGAAGAAGAACAGGCTAGCTCCTGTGTGACTTACTGCCTCTGAAATCCCGCTGGAGGGAGTGGATTCCAGGTTGGTGGCACACAGCAACAAAACAACATGCAAATGAAAAGGAGATCTGGTGCCTTAGTGTTAAAAAGCTGCACTATAATCCCAAAGACACGGGGTTCGAATCTACCAGTTGCTTTGCAGGGAAAAGATGAGCACTCTACTTCTCTGCAATATACTGTCTCTGCAAACCTGCTGGAGGGTCAGCTAAGAGTCAGTTCTGACTTGAAGGCGCATAACCACAACAACATGCAAGTGGAAAAGGCACACAGTACAAATACTCCAGCTGCTCCTCGTGAGAAAGATGGCTAGTCTCCTCCTTTGCCATTTACAGCCTCCATCTATGAGTTGGTGAAGTGAGGACACCTAACAACAACAATAGGAAAAGGAAAAGGGTGCTGTAGTAGCCCAGTCTGTAGGAAGTTGTACTACTAACCCTATTGCTAAGCCTCTCTGGAGGCTTTAATCCACCAGCAGCTCCTTTGGAGAAAAATGGGCCATACCTTCCCTTTCAATGCACTAGTGAAGGGTCCACTATGAGTTGGTTCTGACTGGAAGGTTCTGAGTAAGAAGTGAGTGATTCAAATGAAAATGTGAGATCCCTTGTTTAAAAATTATTAAGGATTTAAAGCAAGTGTGGAGCCTCTTCTAAGCACTGAGCTGTGTGACTGAATAGGCGACACATTTGTTAGCGTCGCCCTGGTCAGAATCTTACCCTGCTGGGGCCCTTGATGAAGACTGGCAGAGCAGAAAGGAACCCTGCTCACTGTGCAGTGGAAATGCTGAGGGCCAGGAGGGAGATGGTTGCATTCATTTTAACACAGCAGAACGAGGGCCCTTCCTTGTGGGAGAATAGAAAGGGGACTGCCTGTTCCAGATGAGCACATTGCTGCCGCAGCACACACTTAGCTCTGTTCCCTAGAGCAGGAGGTGGACTTGGTGGTGGATTTGGCTGGAAGTCATCCAGAGCTCTACGACCCAACCTTTCAAGGGTCTATAAGAAACTGGAAATATAATGAGACGATGAGGCCTCAGAGGGCTAGACTCGCTCTCTAAGCTGAAGTCATGAGGGCTGTGTAGCTTGGAGGGAGAGGAAATCTGGTGAGACTTTTCAAGGTCTGAATTTGGGGACAAGGCAGAGCCAGGGCCTGAGGAAGGAAGGCAAGCATAGACACAGATTTTTTCCCCCTCTTTTTTTTTAATTTACATTGGTTTGTATACAAAGTTCATATACATTGTTTCACACTACCTTTCATTCACATTGTGTTTCATTCAAAGATTCTTTGTTATGTTTTATAAAACTAATCACCACTGAACTATGCCTGTCATTTCCCTATCTTTCCAGATCCCTGCGGCATTTTGCAGGTGACTATTGACGATCCCTCGACAAAGGCTTCCAGGCCTATCTTGGAGGTTGGTGCCTTGTAGATCCCTCTCGGAGGGTATATGAAATCAGACCTAATTAGAGGCTTAAAGATCCCTGGTGACATAGTGTGCAACATGCTGGATGTGCTTGATTGCCAGTGAAAAGCTGGTGGTTCAGATCTACCAAGCACTCATTGTGAGAAAGGGGAATAGGCCTCCATAGCTCATGAAGATGAATTAGATATAAGAACCCTGAGGGAAGGCTGCTATGGGTTGGACTCAGCTCGATTCTACCCGTTAGCAGTGGGTTTGGTTTATTGTTTTGACTTAAAGGTTTCGAATAGGTAGAGGAATTCATTGCTTATTCATTCTTTTAGCAAGTATGTACTATCACTTTTGTACTGAGACTGTGTGAAGTGCTGGGGGAGACTCTGCCTTCACAGAGCTTTCAGCCTGTGCAGGGATGGCGGAAGCAGGTATTAATCAAATATTCACACAAATAAAGGTGGGATTATGTCTTGATCTCGTCCAGTCACATCTAACTTACAGCTGACCATTCATCAGGCTTCCAAAGCTGTAAATTACACAGGAAGAGATTGCCCATTTTTCTCCTCCTGCAACATTTGACCCACCAAGAATCATTGCCTTTAGGTAAGCAGTGTAGGCCCCTATGGACTGTGGCACCAAAGCTCCCTTATTTCTTGATAGGGCCAGAAATAAAGAGATTTGACCCAGGAAGAGGATTCAGAGGAGGCTTTTAGGAGGAAGTAAGTTAGGCAAGTGCCTGTGAATGTGGAGTGTAGAGAAGGTTGTTGTAGGCAGAGGGACAGTGTGAACTGTAAGGACCTCTGTTCCCCATGAGGACCAGTGCTTCCAGAACCGAAAGACCAGTCTGGAGCTCAGTGATGGGGCACACGATTTGTCTGGTGAGGGGCAAGGCAAGACACAGTGAAGGGATTAGGAAGCTCATAAGAGCTGTGAGGTAAGAAGATGACAGCGACTGGTATGTGGAGAGTAAGCTTGATGAGAGGCAGGGGCCTGAGAGAGGTGAGGGTCTAGGAGTGATGACGACTCTGGCTAGGACTGAAGCAGTTGTGAATTTCTGGGCAAAGCAGAGACTGTTTCCTTGACCAGAGAGAGGGTAGAGCAGGGAACCCTGAGGTCTAGTGGAAGCCATTCAGCTACGAGGCACCTCCAAGATTCCTAGATTCCCAAGCCGTGGGTCAGCCCCTCAGCACTGTGCTCTCCTGGGTAGACTCATCCCGCAGCAGCCCTCCACCATTCCATTGAGCCATTTCTTGCCTGAGCCCTGGACGTTGAGAAAGGCAGGGCAGACTGGTCCCATGTGCTAGAGAAATAAGTGTCTTGGTGATCCTGGCTGTGCTCACTGCCTGTAAAGAACTCTAACCAGAGCCCAGCCCTCTGACCCACCAATTATCCATCCCTCAGCCCAGCCAGAGTAGGAGGGCAGGGACACCATAGATTTCATAGTATCCTGATAATGGGATACTGTTAGAGAAACTATTCATTTTACAGACAGAAAAACTGAGGCTCAAGGAAGCAAAGAATTTTCCAAATGTCTCACAGCAACTCAGTGTCAACACTGGAAATAGGACAAGATCCACCGACTCCTTCCCTGCATCTCTCACTGCAGTGCTGGTGGAAAAACAATAACCAGCTACAGTTTAGCTAGTTTCCATCCAGTCAGCCCTAACTTATAGCAAATCCATG